GCCTCATTCATGGCTATCGGGTCAAATTATTCAGAAAGGGGAAGAGCAGGGCTTTTAAAAACTTTTATCCTCCTTTTTTTTTAATTGGAAAATGAATATGCATTTTAGTAATAAAAGAACCCAACAGTATACACATTTGGAAAGTGAAAAGTAGAATTCTTCCTGTTGTCTCACTCGCGTGAGTGCACTACCAGAGAAAAGTCTGAGATTTTTATGTGCACATAGAGCCCTTGTATCGTGTTAGTTTAGGAACCATACATTTGTTTTGCTGCTGACATTGTTTTCTTGCTGATACAGATGGTGCGCATCTTTCTGTTTCAGGACAAATTCCACTTTGTTTGTCACGGCTGCAGAGTGTGGAGTCTCAGAGAAGCATCGTGATTGGTTTAACCAGTCCCCTGTTCACTGACTCCTGGGCTATTTTCAGTATTTTCCCATTTAAACTGTATTCTATTGAAGAATTGACTTCCGTCTTGGTTTTCTTTCTGTGATCTATGTTGAAGTCCTGTGTGGAATTCCCAGTGCAGGCTCAGGGAGGGACCCTAAGGTGATATACCTGGACTTATCCTACGTCGTCTTTGTGAGCCTTCCGATTAGGGAACTTGGTTGTGTGGGGTCAGGTGTGGAGGCAGGAGCTGGTGGGCCCTGATGGAGCCTTGGTAACGGGAACATTTGTGGGAGGGGAGGTGCTTGCAGGCCAGGGCAGCAGGAGCCCAGCTGCAGTCTCCCTGCTGGACCTGCACTCGGGACACTCCCCTTGCCCCCCTCCTGCCTGGTCTTAGGGAATCTGCTTCAAAACGCTTTACTTTCCTTCCCCATCCCTTGAGCAATTCCAGGAATGGGGCTGGTGCTGGGGGAGCCTTGCTTAGGGATGGAGTGAGGCCCCGAGGGGAAAGTGCTATACCAGCCTGTGGTTGGCACCATGTCGAATGCACTGAGTTTCCCTGCGGAGACCCTTCCACCTGCATGTTCATGGAGCTCCCTAGAGCAAAGGGTTGACTGTGGGTTTTCCGTTGTTTAGAAGCAAACTGTTTTTACCCCAGAAGAAATCCTCTGCAGAAATCCAGTGTGTGAGGCAGGTAAGGATGAGCTGCTGTGGTGGGCCAGGGCACAGGATCAGTCACAGAAGTCCATGCTATTATATGATTCCATTCACATGACGTGTCCGGAACAGGGAAATCTATGGAGACAGGACGGATGGGTGGGAGCCTGGGGCTGGGGGCTGGGGGGATGGACAGTGGCCGCTAATGGATCCTGGTTTCTCTTTGGGGTGATGAAAATGTTCTGGAATTAGATAGTGGTAGTTGCTGCTCAACCTTGTGACTATACCAAACCACTGAATTGTGCACTTTAAAGGGTGAACTGTATGATATGAGAATTATATCTCAAAATAAAAAACCTCCAGTTATCACCTTGTCGTAAAAAATATCTGCCCTCATGAGGAGTAAAATTTTATTGCCTCCTGTTCTCCATCTCCCCTTAGGCCTTTGGCAGTTTGTACAAACAGCCAGACTGAGATGAGCCCCTCCCACCCCACCTTTCCTGTCCTTCCCACAATGGTGTGGGAAGGTCCCCCCCATCCTAGTCCTATTCTCCTTTCTTTTCCTACAGCTGTGACCCCTGGAGGGGGGGAGTTTATTATCGTTGTCAGTGAGTTTCCCTAGTTCTGTTCAGCTGGACCCGTGCCCCTTACCATGTGCCACCTTGGGACCCCCCACTAGGAGAGGAGGCACGGCTGCCCCGGGGGTGGGGTGGGGGCGGGGGTGGATCTCTGAGCTGCCAGGGCCACCTGCTGTCCCCAGCCTGGGCCTTCT